CTTTTATGTGGCAAGCACAATAACCATACCGAGTTTGGTACAAATTGGTAGAACGGTTACCGAGATACATATATGTGATCATAAGTGGGCGGTCCCACGCCCATTTTCCAAAATTTTATGATAAGCGTATTTCCTGTACGCCCATTTTTTTAAAATTTATAATATTCTTATTATTCGTCTAAAAGTTATTGCAAATATAAATTTTGAGTGAATAATCTTCAGTAGTTACTAAAATATCGCAGTTTTCGTATTTCTGAAAATTACCGTTATATGGGAGGTAGGCGTGGTTATTGTCCGATTTTGCCCATTTTCAATACCATCCGTCCTACGCCCGAAAGAATTACACGTACCAAGTTTCGTTAAGATATCTTAATTTTTACTCGAGTTATCGTGTGCACAGACGGACGGACGGACAGACAGTCACCGCTTAATCGATTTCTCTTTTCATCCTGATCATGTATGTATACATTTGTCTATATCTATCTCGATTCGTTTTGCCTGTTACAAACAACCGTTATGTGAACAAAGTTATAATACCCTTGTGCACAAGTGCGCTCGGGTATAAAAATAACCGTTGTTTGCTTTTGATACCTTTTCTGATTGGCAACTGATACTTCCTTTTTCAAGCTCGTGGCAACGCTGGTCAGCCAGTAAACATCGCGCGCCACGACGAGTTCAACAGAAAATTTATTTTGGCGGAAATTCCTTCATCTATATGAGTCATAGCGGCGGTTGTTAAAGGCGACATACACGGTGCATCTGAGCGAGTCATTTATGTACGTGTTGACTCGCCTTCCACTACAAACGCATCCAAAGCGACTCATGAGTCAGACGCGCGGTGTATGCCGCTTATTAAAGATTAACAGTTCACAATAGGCATGTTTTATTAGCCGTGAAATTTCTGGGTCGATTACAAATGGCAACGCAACCACGGTTCCGTTGCCAGCTGACAACGCAACTGGAAAGAAAGTTTTTATTACGAATGGCTTCTATCGTCAGCTGCTGTAGTTATCGATAATCTAAATTTGACAATTCGACAACCAGCAAGCGGCTGTAAACAATCTGTGCGAGTAAAACTAATAGGCGGCATTTATTGTTGTTGACTCGCCTTCAACTACACACAGTTGACACATAATTATTTTCACAAATACATCCAAACTGAGTCGCGAGTCAGACGCAACGTGTATGCCGCCTATAAATGATTAAAATAAAGGGGTTTGAAGAAAAGAGCAATAAAGCTAAATTCATCACAATTATTTGTTTAAGAGGAAGAGAAGTAAATGAACGCGGCCTAAACCAGGAAACATTTAATGGATTATTCCGCTAACGCGTGCACTGTAAGCAAAAGTTAATGCTTTCAAGGTTTTTCTTTTATTATTGTTTTGTGTTTATTTTCAAAGCATATTGAGGACTTCCAGATGAAGCTGTAGTATAATTGGTTAATAAACATAGGAACCACTTCGTTCAACTTCAATACCTGCGCTCATAAAACTTGCGCACATCTTCGATTTTTAGCAGAAGTGCCACAGCAATGACTTTAATTTGGAAAATTTGGTGTATCGGTAGTTTTAACAGAAGAGCTACGGTTGATAAAGGAAAAAATGTGCTATCAGTTCGCTTTTGTTTCGCCAAAAGGGCGTTGTTGCTTCGCCAAAAGGGCGTTATTGTTCTGTTATTTTCACTATATTCTGTAAAAGCAAACTGCATTGCAAAATGTTAATATCGGTCAAATTGTTAAAAAGGAAAATATATGAGGCTTTTCAATTTTCGCTCCAAAAACATTCCCAGCAACCACAAAAATGTAGTCACAAGTATACACACTTTGTAGCAACTGCAGATGTCAGTTGAAAGTTGCCATTTGCCATCTGTAACATAGCTTTGGCAACTAGCAACGCAACTGAAGTTCGATTGCTATCGATAGTCGACCCACTAAACAGCCCAGTACTCAACAAAATGTTTAATAGAGCGAAAATTGGTACGTATTTAATCGTAAGTGGTTTCTTCTTCCTGTCCGAAATAGCCCGGAATTTTTATCCGGGTAATAATGGATAAAGTGTCTAAGTGCATATCAGCTGTTTTGTGTTTACATGTCGCCTGCATTTACTTGGTGCTTTTAAGGAATAGTGAATGGCCCATGATAAAAACATAACAAGGTAAAACCATTGAGAGGCAGTTTGACGTTTGCCAACAATAGGTTTGTTCCACAAGCTACTCGAAGTCACTTCGAGTTATACATACGCGTTCCACAAGTAAGTTTTAAGGCTGATTCACATACATCTTTCTTCGCTTTGCTTGATAGTTCTTTGCTTTGACATATAAGATCGATGTAGGCTCATATAAAAAAGGTTTGAAGCAAAGCAAAACAAAACGAAGCAAAATCTTGGGCAACTCTCAACTTTTGCCCGCTTTGGCAATCAGCTCTCTACATGTATCTTTTCTCGTGCGCTTGCATATGCATTTAATGACAAAAATAGGGTAAATAGGAATTTTTATTGCTATTAGTAATGCATATTATTATATTGTTATCTATTTTACAGAGAAAATATATGGAGGAAAAGGAAAACACAAAAGCTGTCAAAGCGTTTATTGTAGCATACCTTCTGCGTTTCACGCTATCTTGTCAAAGTTTGAACTGTCAAGCAAAGCGAGGAAAGTTGTAAGTGAATGGCCCTTTAGAGTTTGTTTGATATACGCCGACAGTATGAACTTTGATCGAGTTTTTCTACAAGTACCTTGTGGAACAAACCTAATATAATTTAAATTTAAATAAAAAAATAAAATAAATAATAAATGTTTTTCTCAAATGATTCTCAAATTGAAAACGAGGTTTAAATTTTACTTTTGAAATTCATTTGAGGTTGATTTGAAGAAAGATGTCAAGTATCAAACGTTATAAAAATGCGCAGTTAAATCATTAAATTAAGATCAATTGAAAAAAAAGCAATGAATAGAAAAAATGTCAAAGAGAAAGCCCACAAATAGTGGATTTGATATTTGCACGGATTGAAAAAGCTGCAGCCCTTCAAGACGAATTTATTATAAATTATTCTATTTCAATTGTTTCTTTTGTTATGTACATATATATGTACATCGCGAAGAAAAAATAAATGAAAAATAAAATACACATTTCCACATTTGAAGTACATTTGATAAATAACCTTTGAAATTGATTTGAGAGTTAACCATATAATCAAATGGAGATCAAACTCCCCTTTTTATTGAGAAAGCTGGCCTCAATGTTAAAAATTTGGGTTGCCTTTCAATTATGGCCGTTGGTTAAAGGGACGGTGGGCGAAGGGGGAGGGACCGTGGCGCCATTTTGTAAGGGCCATTTTTTAGGTGCCACGCCCCCTTCCATGCCGCCCATCACCTCTTTAAACAACGGCCATATTAGAAAATTTCCCCAAAAATTTACATAAAAATATTGCACACATTGCGGAAACCATGATGTGCTATTTTAACTGGCTCTCACTGTATGTATGTATATTGAATGCTATGGAATTAATACGTACTTGCCGTCAATAACATGTGGACGCGCAGCTTGCGCCCGGTCTACCATATATGTGTCCGAATATGTGATAAATCCAAATCCTCTGGAACGTTTGGTTGCTGGATCACGCATAACTATTGCATCGACTACTTCGCCCCATTGCTTGTAGAAAGCTCGAAGAGATTCCTCGGTCGTTACTGCCGACAAGCCACCAATAAACATTTTTCGAAGGTGGTCAACTTCAACAACCTCACCGCCATTCTGATGATCCTGAATATTCCGATAAAAAAAAATGCTTACAAAATTTTCACAATTATATACATATGTAAAATATATAAAAATCTATATATACATATATATGTAAAATAAATTGAAGCTATGTACTTATACGTACGTACATACTTTCAATTATTTTTGAACACAATACAGTCTTGCACAATTTCTAGGAACTCCGAAATTCACATACCTCTGGCTTCATACCCACTTGATACAGATTTTCTGCCGCTTTAATCATTTTGCTGAACTAAATTGTAATTTTTTATTTATTCCTGACAAAGAAATGGCTGCTCACAAAATCGAACTATGAAAAGACGAACAGTGACTTGAAATGAAATAAAATGGTGGAATGTGTATGTATTCAAAATTCATCAGTGTTGCCGTATCACACAGTTTGACAAACTGAACTAAATGTACATAACTTGATGGTGACACGAGAAAGATTTCTATTCAGTATTATTTATTTGTTAAGGTCTGTATCCAAGCGCCCGAAATTGCGCAATTTCGACACTCGATTTCAATGTGAAATTGTAGCTTTTTACAAGACCATCTCAATTTTAATCTCATTTCGATGACAGTTTGTTTATTGGTTTGTTGTTGTTTTCTTAGGGCTGGCTTTCCTTTACAGCTGATTTTGTTTCATATTATTATGCAACGTTTTTGCTGCATTTAAAATGCAACATTTAGCACTTTCGAACATATGTTTTGCGTAAATTTGGTAAGCCAAGCTTTGGTAGAAGTGGTTTTAGCGAAGCTGAAAGATAAAATAAGAGTAAAAAAGAAAAAAAGTATGTATACAGAACAGTGTTGGAATTTTTTGGTACAATAGTACTTGTTTGATACAATTTCATTTACAATATACTTTCCTACTACGCAGTACTTTTTAGTACAATTTTGTAATGAATACTAAAACTATATAGCTCTGAAAATTTACAGCAAGAAATTTTTTGTATTCCCTTTTGTTCGCCTGTTCGTATTTATCTTTGTAAGTTTTGAAAAATGGCTTGAACGAACCAGTATAATTTAGCCTAGGCAAATTTTTAAAGAAACTTTTCGATACTAAGTTTTATTAAAACAAAATGTCGAAGTCAGCTTCATATAGAAACAAAGTCTTCGTTAGTTATAAGAAGAGATTTTCTTAAATATAATACCTTTACGGCACTCACATATTGACAAGATTTTACTATTTATTTTATTATTTAATTTTAATTATCTGTTTACAAAATATATTGTATTCTTTAAACTGTATAAACCCAAGATTAAATCTTTGCGAAACATCCAAAAACCAACATACTTTCGTAAAAATTTAGAGCTTTATTAATATTCTTTAGTTTTTAGCCCATTCAATTTTAGTATAATAAAGTGCAAGTTTAAAGTAGCTGGGACTTACCGTTGAACCTGGCAATTTTTTTTGTCGACGATGTCAGCCATTTTCTTCCATACGATTTTTTTATATGGAGAAAATTAGCAACACCTTCTTCAAAGAAATTTTAAAAAACTTTGTTATATTAAAATTTAATGGGCTAAAAAACCGCACACTCAAAATTAATCTAGGAAATCGAATTAAAAAGCTCGAAATTTTTACGAAAGTGTGTTGGTTTTTTTTAATGTTGCACAAAGTTTGAACCTTGGATTTGTAAGGCTTTTCTTAAAATATAATAATAATAATAATATTTTTACAAAAAATAATTAAAATTTAAAAATATTAAGATAAATGGTAAAATCTTGTAGTAAAGTTTTGATAAGCACTTGAAATGCTATTAAAATGTCAAATTTTAGTACTGAATACAAAGAAAATGTCTCTTTTATCCATTCATAATAACTTAAATATGCTTTTTGTTAAGATGTATACCTGAAAATATGTGCATACATATTTGCGTTAAATGCAGTACATGTGCACGTGGAATCAATATGTAAAAGTGTAAAATACGTAAACGTATCTACATAAACAATAAAACTTTCTCTTGAATACCATAAAATCATTGGTCTTGAAGGGAATGTACTAAGAAAATATATGAGCGAATTTAAAAGTGTATCCAATTTATAGCCGAAAAGTACATTTTTTGTATAGATTTCGTACTGAAGGAACAATTTCCTTTCCCAACACTGATGCAGAATGTAAATAAACACAGGGTTGCAAGGAAAAAAAGTTGAACGAGCTCAAAGTTGGCTGGCGACCAACTTTGTTGAAAGCAATTAGTTGAAAGGCCGTTCGGACGAGGCGATTTTTACTTTCAACTAAAAGTTGCCTGAAAAATCGCCTCGTGCGAAAGCCCTAGATGGCAACTTTTTCACTTTCAACTTCTCATTCAACTTCGCATTCAACATTTGTTGCCTGTAAAATCGCATCGTGCGAATGTCCTATTAGATATAAATATATCTGTGTTCGTATGGAAAAGTAGCTTATGTCGAAAGGCTGGCTTTAGTATAATGGGGCATTCCCTTTATTTTTTATATAACAAGGAATTTGTTGTGCAACGGCTCAGCGCCAGTGAGTCATTCGCAATCGTATGCTGCGAATGCCGATTTATACTAAAGCCAGCCTTTCGACATAAGCTACTTTTCCATACGAACACAGATATATTCTGATATATGTTTCAAGATATAAACTTTATCGTGTAGAGACGGGTAGTTAGCGAATCCTCCAAATATATAACAAAGTAAGCTTTAATTTCATTTACAAATCAATTTATATTTCTAAAACTATGAAATAATCTATATAGATTATCGCACACCGTCTTTAAAAGGAGCACAACTCAAAATTACGCGTTTGCCAGAAAATGCGAACCACTTAGCGCATAATTTCAAAAATGCCAAATTTTTATTTGTGCCTCTTTTGAAGACAGAATGCGATATATGGTTTAACTCATGATAAAAACATTACAAGGTAAATTCATTCCCTCAATTCGTCGGCTATGATTTTTTTTCTGACGTTTGTAAGCATTTTAAAATCGTATTTTCGATCGATCGATTTTTTCAACACGGCGGCCGCTCAGCGTTGAATTCTAAATAGTATCGGCGCAACTATCTCTATTTGTTGCAATTTCATTTGTTTACATTTATCAGCTGTTCATTTGGCAGCATATTCATCAAGCCGTTTCTAAGACGTAATTGCTGGGTTCAACAGTTGCCAGCAGTTTCGTAGCAGATGAGCTAAACAGCTACATCTTATGAACGCAACCAATGCGTGTATGAGTATTGCTGGCAAACGTCAGACTGCCTCTCAATGATTTTACCTTGTTATGTTGAAGCCACTTAAATGAATAATAAATATTTATTCGTTATTTGAAATTACGTGAATGATGAGTAAAAATTAGGTGCGGTTGTAAGCGGGTGTCGTCTTGGAGCAATCGGCTCGCTACATAAACGTGTATTTGGTTGTTGTTTTGCTAGGAAAATAGCAATACATTCACAGTTTTTCATTAATACATTCACAGTTCTCTCACTGTCTTTGATTTTTCGAAGACAGTGATTTAGACAGTAAATTAGAAAATTCGGTCCCGTCTTGGTTAATTTGAGTAACAGTAAAAAAAAGTAATATTCTGGCTGCAGCTATATGTCATAGTGCAAGTTTTGGCAGATGCAGACCCCGAACTATGGCGATCCCATTCATTCTTCGTTTTTCCCTTTGAAGCTGGTAACTCTATTCATTTCATGCTGTTTCGTTGGTAGCCATATTGTAAAGTAGACGAACGGATGTTCATTCGGATTTTTAACTTCGAGTGGTTAACTTGTACTTTTGCGCTTACGTAATTAAAGGGATAATTGTTAAAATTTTGAAATAAATTTATATATATAAATGGTTAAAATGCCTAATCAAAAAGACAACTCCAACCACAATGGAAATTATAATGACGTAAGTAGATTTGCTTGGGTGGGTAGTAGTAATTTCTAGAAGTTGTGCCAGGTCCGCCATTTTGTTTCCAATGTGTATGTATCTGTGAAAGATAAAATCGATTTCCATTCAAATAAGTGCATATATATTTTTTTTATTTATTTATAGGAGGATATCAATGAGCCCGAATGCTTGCGAAAATTGTTTATTGGTGGATTAGATTACCGTACCACTGATGATGGTCTTAAATCGCATTTTGAAAAATGGGGTAAGATAGTTGATGTGGTGGTTATGAAGGATCCTAGGACCAAGCGATCACGTGGCTTTGGATTCATCACCTACTCGAGGTCAACCATGGTTGATGATGCCCAAAATGCTCGTCCACATAAGATTGATGGCCGCGTTGTAGAACCTAAACGTGCAGTGCCACGTCAAGATATTGACAACCCGCATGCCGGTGCTACGGTTAAGAAACTATTTGTGGGTGGACTTAAAGACGACCACGATGAACAATGTCTACGCGATCATTTCGGACAATATGGCCAAATAACAGATGTGAACATTGTAATTGATAAAGAGACTGGCAAAAAGCGCGGCTTTGCTTTTATTGAGTACGATGACTACGACCCAGTTGATAAAATTGTTTGTAAGTAGATATAGTAGATTTTATGAACTCTGACTATATATGTACATACTTATTAATTTGGCGGGTAGTACAGTCCCAGCTCCGCATATGTATTTTAAGTAACATTGTGCGGCGTTTCATGACTGTTAGACTGAATCTAGGCATATATTATATAGAAGTTGATTTGTTTTTCATTTAATAATGAATCGATGAAAATGTGTATGCCACAATAATTTAATAAGAACAGTTAAGGTTTACTTTATTTAAATATATCTGTTATCCAAAGGCATAACAGCTTAAGAGGCGAGCTTGGCTTTAGTATAACGCAACATTCCGTTTATTATTATTAGGAGTGGCCCCTAGGCTCACTACTCAACTTTGAAGTTACGTCTGAGACAACTCGACTATTTATTGTTACTGGCAATCACAACTGTTCTCAATAGGAAATTATTTTTTTTTTACCTATTAGGCTACTGATACCCGAAAACTATGTCCCGTAGCATGAACCAATTGGATTGGAGTGTGGTTGGATCATGGGCCCGTAGTTATAATCAAATTAAAGTCAGCTCTAAAGTTAAAAGCAGCTTGTTTGACAAGTACATATCCCATTGAA